AGGTGAGCGGCCTCCCCTGACCCCCAGGCCACACAGCTGATGGGACCCACATGCGCAGTCCGCACCACACGGAAGGCCCCGCAGCGGGGGTTCTGGGGGTTCCTGGGGCAGCACAGGGGCGGGGCCCAGGCCTGTGTGGGAGGAGCCCAGGTGAGCAGCCCCGCCCCCTGCACTCCCCCGACAACAGCCCACGGGACCCACATGGGCATCCGCACTGCGCACTGTGGCAGGGGTCCTGGGGCAGCAGGGGGGCGGGGCCCAGGCCCGTGTGGGAGGAGCCCAGGTGAGCCGCCCCGCCCCCTGCACTCCCAGGACAAAGCCCACGGGACCCACATGCACATCCTCCGCACTGCGCACTGCAGCACAGGGGCGGGGCCCAGGCCTGYGTGCATCTGGACACGGTGTCCCTCCGGGAGCAGCGCTCACCTGCAGGAAAGGGACGAAGTCTTCCTGCACCAGGTAGTTGCAGCCGGGGTTCATGAGCAGGTGCACGAATCTGGCGGCTTCGTCGTGGCAGTTCTGGAGGATCCTGGGGACACGAGGAGGTCTGAGCCACCCTCCTGCCCCAGACKCGGGGGTGGGTGGACAGAGTACAGATGAGCCAGGAGGCTGGGGCGGACAGGAGGCCGGGCCATGGATGCGCACCTGTGAATGACCCAGCTCCAGGGGATGGCTACTGGGGACGAGGACCCGGGACCCTGCCCCCTCCGTGCCCTCCCTGGCCGGGACTCACTTTCTCCACATGGCCACGAACTTGTGGACGGACACTGAGCCTGTGCGCTCCCCGCCGGCTCCATAGAAGAGAGGCCCCTTCCAGTACAGTGGGCAGCCGCAGGCCTGAGGGACAGAGGGAGCGGTCAGCGGGCCCTGGACACACGGCACACACTTGAGCAGAGAGGGTGGACGCTGCTGCAGACCACTCAGCCCTCGGCCCCCAGGGAGCAGGAGAGCTGCCCTTGTCCTGCCGCAGGGCGACCGCCAGCCCTGGGGGGTGGGAGGGGTGGTGCTGGCTCTGGTGCTCAGCGCACAGTACCCCACAGCACGCAGCACTTGGTGTCCCTGGAAGGAGCCTGGCTGTGCCCAGGCCCAGAGGCCCAGCAGCACACACAGAAGAGCCCCACCTTCGGCCGACTGCCCCAACCCCACAAGACCAGCACCCACACACTTCAAACCCGGGCTGCCACAGGGCCAGCCACAGCAGGGCACAGCCCCCTGGGAGCCACCTGAGGCCCAGGTCCCCTCGCAGCTGCAGGAGGCAGCAGGGCCACAGCACGTCCACAGAGGTCCCCACACGGCCAGCCCAGCACGGGGGCTGAGACCAGGGGGCCCTGCGCTCTCCCAGGACAAGCAGAACTGCGGTGGGCCGGCTGGGCTCCGGCAGGCGCTTGGCCAGCGTGGCGGGGCCCTGGGGCCCACTCTCAGCACCCCATAAAGATAAGGAAGCCAAGAACAAGGTCTGTGTCCATGCAACTAAAACGACAGAGATCACAAACAGAGAAAAACACCAGGCCTAGGGGCCCACGCGTCCACCATGCGGCCACGGAGCCCACACAGGGTGGTCGCGTGTCCAGCAGGCTGGCCTTCGGGGAGCAGGGCTGGCAGATGACCCTCTTGCCCAAAGCCGCCTGGGCACAGACCCGCCCCCAGCGGTAGAAAGGACCCAGGGCCCCGCAGGCCCGAGGCGCTGGGCAGCCCCACCAGGCGCCTCCGGTTCCCAGCAGCCAGACCGAGGTCCCCGCCTGGCAAGGACCAGCCTGTGAGCGCAGCCACCGCGCAGGACAAAGGGCCAAACTCCTCAGAAAACACGGCTTCTGCACAGGACGCGGAGCAGGAACCCACGAGGTGGGGACACCCTCATCCTGGAAAGGGAGCTGAGGTCGCCAGGGGTGTCCCCGAGTTCCCGTGCTGACCCTCACCCAGGTGCTGCTGTGGGGGGCTCTGGGAGGGCGGAGCTCCCAGGAGCAGCCCAGGAAGGTGACGAGGGTCCTCACCAGAGAGACCCGAGAGCCCCTGCCCGTCCACCATGGAGGACCCAGGAGAAGGCGCCTCCGGGAGCAGGAGCAGCCTCAGCTGACCCCGTCGGCCCCGCCTGGACCTGGGCTGCAGCCCAGAGCTGACCTGTCCCCCCTGCTGCTCTGAGCAGCCGCGGTCACTGGTGACAGAATGGCAGGCACAGAGTCGTGACCCACGGAACCACAGGTCACCAGACACGGTGGAGACTGTGAACGCTCCGTCCCTGTGTCCTGACAAGAACCCAAGTCACCACGGACGCTGGGCTGGGCAAAGAAGCTGACACAGGATGGGGAAGGAGGGGACCGTCACCATCTGCGACACACAGCGAGGACACAGAAGCTCTAGGACAGTGACGGTGTGCGGAAGTAGTGACCATCTCCAGCACAGCTGCTGGACCCAGGAGGACAGCCAGACAGAYGGCCCGTGCCCCAGCACAGGACTTGGCACCAGGAAGGGGCATTGAGTCGATGGCTGCTGCTCTGCAGTGCTGAGCACGGTCCTCCAGGGCGCTGCCGATCAGAGACGGACCGCAGGCCACCAAGAGGGCCCAGGACACGGCCCGCCCTGCGCTGCCCGCACACAGGTCCACACCAGGCTGTGGCAGCTGACCCGCCGTGCGAGCAGCACGAGACCATGGCCACCCAGAACCTGCAGCCTCAGACAGCCCAGGAGCAGAGCAGAGTCCCACAACAGGCCCCAGTGGGGCCCAGCCAGGCTCTGCCTCCTGAACCTGCCCGGAGACCTCCAGCAATCGGGCCCAGAGGGTTCCTGCCCAGGAGTCAGCACGACGCGGCTCTGAGGTGTGCACCTAGAACCTGCACCATCCTCCAGCACCAGGCAAAGCAGAGACCAGGGGGGGGCCTCAGTGCCACACCAGGTCACCAGCACCAAGTATCCAGGTGCACCAGRACACCAAGACTGCACCAAGCTAACCTGCAGGAGCAGTACTCAGCACACAGCACCACGTGCTCACAGGGGAGAGGAGGAGCAGCCTTAGCTGTGCACCAGGACACCATGACTGCACCAAGCTAACCTGCAGGAGCAGGACTCAGCACACAGCACCATGTGCTCACAGGGGAGAGGAGGAGCCTCAGATGTGCACCAGGACACCAGGACTGCACCAAGCCAACCTGCAGGAAGCAGGACTCAGCACACAGCACCACGTGCTCACAGGGGAGAGGAGGAGCCTCAGCTGTGCACCAGGACACCAAGACTGCACCAAGCTAACCTGCAGGAGCAGTACTCAGCACACAGCACCACATGCTCACAGGGGAGAGGAGGAGCAGCCTCAGCTGTGCACCAGGACACCATGACTGCACCAAGCCAACCTGCAGGAAGCAGTACTCAGCACACAGCACCACGTGTTCACAGGGGAGAGGAGGAACCTCAGCTGTGCACCAGGACACCATGACTGCACCAAGCTAACCTGCAGGAGCAGTACTCAGCT